TTAAAAGCAGTACTACAATTCCTTTCCACCTAAACTTGAACATGTTTCCATATTTTAAAAAGTAACTGCTTCCTAAATCTACAGTATGATAAGAGTCTCCTCCCAGGAAGAAAAAAATAATAATTATAATAATTCCTTAATTCTTAGTTTTCTAAGATGTGTGTGTGTGTGTGTGTGTGTATATATATATATATATATATATATATATATACAAAATGTGTGTGTATATATATATATATATATATATGCCATCAAATTTAATGATATATTCTGGCAGAGTAAATTAAGAGAAACCAGGATCAGAAAAAGTTAATTAAAAAAATATATATAAATAAAAACACAGCTTCTTTTAGAAGTTTCAAGCTCTCTAAATTTCTAAATCTGTGTGAATGTCCAAGTTCTTTTACCAAGGTTGAGTGAGACAGAAACTTAGAAACACACTGGTAAGTCACACTATTTGAATTGAAGGAATGTGCTTCTGTGTTTTCTAAAGAATTCATTAATTTTCCAGAAACAGATGATCTTGTTCAAAAGGGTGACTTCCCTAAATATATACACTCTTTTTCTTTTTAATGTTATCTTCTCTTTAATCCATTCATGTAATAGACCAGAACCAAGAAATCTTTCTTAAAAGTCAAAGAACGTTAATAAACCAAGGAATAAACCTAACAACAGCCCATGACTTACCATAGGTAAACACCCATAATGCAATTTTAATGTCAATGATTTTATCTTCTGTTTTCATGGACTAGTCTCTACATCATAGGAATTCCCAAGAAAGAGACTTTTATTCATCATGGTATGTGTGTAGGCACATACCATATAGAACCATTATTGGTACTAAATAACTACCTTCTAGAATGGTGAATTGGCTCTTCCTCTTACAGAAAGAAAATGAATAAATGTGTTCTGCTTTACAGTAGAATGCTGTTAATGATATTGAAGAAAATTGGGACAACAGATTTACTACACTTATTTGCCCTTGGTCTATCCTATGAAAAGTGCTTGCAAATCCTTGTTTTAGAGTTGAAAATGTCCAATCTAGTACTAGACTTTTCTAAAGTTGTGGAGTAGGGTTGCATTTGTCATCAATACCATGTACCCACTCCTGCACCATCCCTTCCTATAACAAATAAGAGTTCTTTCCGATGCATGAGGCTTCTTTCCAAAGGGTCTGCGGGATAGATGTCCCTCCTTAATAGTGGACCTGATGTTTATATCATCTTCCCTCACCTCCAGATATAGATCTTTCATAGACCAGAAGCACTAAGGTTAATTGTGGATCCAAGTGCTCTTGTCTATTTATAGCAATTTGGATGGGAAGGAAGGTGGGGAGGCAGGAGTCTCCCACACTTAGCCCAGTGAAGACATTTTATTGGATACTCTTCCTCAACCATAATCAAATTCTTTCCTATATTTTCCAAAACAAAATGACAAGCTGGCCCTCAGTAATTTAGTACCCTGCTTTAAATTTTCATCCTTTCAATCTTATGTATTATGGGTTTAGTTCAAAAGACAGAAATGCCACAGGAATATCATATACTGTGGCAAGATTAATAGAGAGAAATTTTTAAATAAGAGGATGTTTCTAGAGCTGCCATTACACAAACTAGGTGTCATGAAAACAGCCAGAGCTTGGTGGTCTTACAGCCCTAATGATCTCCCTTCCCAAAATTCTCCTGATTTGGTTGAAGTGAGGATTCAATGGCTCAAGATGTATTTAGGTATCAGGGAACATATAATAGACCAGATACTATAAAAAGTAATTCTGCTTCATTAAAATCAATCAACACATTTTTAATGTCCTGCTAAGCTTCAGGAAACAAAGAGGAATCCTAAGTTTGGGGGAGATTTTTGGGGGAAGAAAGATGAAACCAAGACAGTGAGTCATCAACCAACATTAAGGTTGCATCAAGGAAAAGTACCTAAATCGTCTTGAAGAAGAATAGGAATCCTAGCCTTGAGCTATTGCTAGGTGAAGATGTTCAACCTATGACTCTTACATTCAAATCAGTGAAAAGGGGACAAGATAAATAAAATCACCTAACAGAAAAGGGCATAAGTATAAAACCTCTCTACCTGGGATGTGACTCTGGATTGAGAAAAACTGTAACAAAAATAATAATAAAATGACATATTATGATATCAAGAGTAATAACATTTCTTCTGAGACTTCAACCAGAGGTTTGGTCTCATTCAGGCCTTGAGCTTAAATTTATATTCACTCTCTGTCTAGAAAAAATTCCAAAATGAGAAACTGAAATAATTTGAAATTGGTAGCACCTCCTGGCACCAGGCGGAAGCAAACACAAATCTTGCCTGGAGGAAGGTTTTCCAATTTCTGATCATCAATGTTCCTGAAAATTTACTTCAATCAAAAATGAGCTCACACACGTACTTATACACACACACAGCATAGGAGAAAAAGCTATCATAGGAAAGAGTTAGAAAACAGAAAATAATAGATTTAGATCCCTATGGGCTTCCAATATTGGGAATATCGAGACAAGATGTTTAAAAACTAATAATGGAATACTTAAAGACATAAAAAGATTTAAAAAGTGGGAACAAAAGATTATCTTAATTAAAAGGCATGTTTGAAAAAGGATAAAGTATACTTAAAAAAAAACATAATCAATGAAAAAATGATTCATTGAATAAGTTTAATGAGATAGTAGGCATAAATGAATTTTAAGATAAAACCCAATGAATATCCCAGAATGCGAGACAGTGATATAAAGAATAAAACTTATTTATAAGACGATGGTAAGACACATGAGGATAGAGTTAAAAAGTCTAAGGTTTATCTAGTGCAGGCCGAAAGTAATTAAGTAGAGAGAAGAAGAAAGAAGCATTACTGAGATGCTGAGAATTTTTGAGAGCTAGTGGATAGATACATATGAATAATACATACGAACTAGATACATAGGAACTAATGAATAAATGCAGAAAACATAAACATATCAAATAAGACAATTAAAAAGAAATCCACAATCAGACACATGGTAATAAGACTGCCAAACACCAAATTAAAAGAAATGACCTTAAAAGTAGGTTTTGGGTGCTGGGAGTGGTGGTGGTCAGAGCACTTTCAAAGGCAGGACAGGCTGACAGCCAGCTTTTCAATAGCCAGATCAGAAGAGTCCAGTGCTGTGCTGGTGAGGGTTTAACCTGGATGTCTAGCAGTGGGGAGAGCCCTGACTTGCAGAATTTCTGAGCTCCATGGAGTAAACACTCCCAGGATGGCTGATTTCAAACTACCCTTGTGACATCACAGAAAGAAGAATTGGGCAGAGATGTACGTAACAGGTCCTTATGAGCCATTGTGAGCTGGCTCCATCACACCCATGGATAAATCCTTCAATGTCGAGTTGTACGTCTAGTAAAATTATCTTCCAGGAATAAAGATGAAAGGTGAAACTCCTGTTTTCAGATAAAGGACCCCTTATACAGAACAAAATTCAAAAGAATTTACCTCGGAAACAAGGAAATCAAATCTGGTAGAAAGTAGAAGGTTCCAACATATTAGTGACTGAATTAATAAATCAAAAAAGTAGTGTCTACATGAAATAATAGTAGGAGAGGGGGATGGAATAAGAAAGAAATTTAAAATTCAATCTAGAAGTCAGTCACTGTTGATTGGCTCATTCAACTGCCATTTTAGCAACTAAAACTGACGTTTCCCAGACCTGACAGCAGATAGATTTCTGGATGCACATTACTTTCTGGAAATTAAGTACTGTTTATGAATCTGGAAGGCTATAGTGTGACAGGAGTCCTTTTTCTGCCTTTTCAGCTTTTTCTACTGGCCAGCAAAGTCATGGTAACCTGAAGTATTCTCTGCCACCCTTTTTAAGAGACCTTCTCCGCCTCTTGGGAGTTGACACATGCCACTGCGGCCACAGTGGCATCTGGACTCTAGCCTCACCTTAGGGATGGCCTGGGAGTTAATAGCTCCCCACTCATGAGCTCAGGGCTCCCTGGGGAGTTACTCCGAAAGACTCTAACAAGAATGCACACTGTAAGTGCGGCCACAATTTTAAAAGCAACTTATTTCCTGAGTTAAATCCATTCCTGCTTAAAATGCCTTGGGTTACTAATGTTTTCTACACTGTATTGTGACTGAGAGGATAAGAAAGAACATGCTAGAATCACAGGAAAGTTGACAAGTAGAAAATGGGGAGGCAGAAACAAACCCAATCATACAAGTAACCCCCAAATGCACAGGGGCTTACATTTGCCAATTTATAAAATAGAAGATGGCCAAACTGGATAAAAATGCAGTATTTAGCTATAGCTCTTCACAAGATCATATATAAGGCTAAACAAAGAAAAGACTGAAAGGGAAATATAGAAAATGATATACCAGGCAAATACTAACTAAAGCAAAAATGAATTAGCTATATTAATAACAAACTAGATTAAGCACAGAGACATTAAAGTTAAAAAATATTACTTCAGTGTGAAAAAAAAGTTCAATTCACTGAGAAGATATAAAAATTTCAATCTTGCCTACACCTAATAAAAGTCATCATTAGACATAAAATGAAAATTCACAGAACTTCCTGTAGGAAAAAAGAACATCCATTATTATTGTAGGAGATTCCAATCCTCTTTTGAATTTTCAATAAATTAGAAAACAGATTAAGGACTTACAGAATTAAATAATTGGGTTGTTCAAATCCTTAAATTATTTAAGTGAAATTTACATAAATTTAACTAAAAGAACGCAGTAAACGCTTTAATTAATTTGAAATTAGGTAAAAATAATTATTTTGGTGAATCACTTTGTTCATTTACCTTACTCGGGATTCTACAAAGCAGATATACATGCCACTTTGTGGTCCTGCCACACGTACCTCTCAGCCTCCCATAGCAGGACTCTTGGTTCTACACCTTGGATATTATCGGCATCTTGGTGCTTCCCCTGGTGAAAATTATTTATTACTTTATTTATTTTAACAGAGCTTGCCGGAAAGGCATGGACTAGAAAAACAAACCTGTGACTTTGCCCAAAGTGAGGGACCTGATGGCCCTGAACTCAACCTCTGAGGAGAAGTTATAACTGAGTCGGAGGTGCTGATCCATCTGCAGGAAAAGAGAAAACAAAGAGGCATCAGCAGAGGTCCGCATGTCCAGCACATGAAACACTCCTGTATGAAACAGCTTTGAAAACACACGCAGGGAAGAGCTCTCTCTGGGACTTTCTCTCTGGAGAGATGAGAAATGTCTCACTAATTCTCCCACAATGCACATAAAATACCCGTTTCTTTACTCTTGGTGAAATAAAGGCTTTCACACAAGTCTCCTCCCTGGGAAATTCTATACAGCTTTTGACAGGTATTTATCTCCCCACTGAGAGTTTCTCACCAAATTCTTTGCTGCAAACAAGCAAATAAATGAAGCCTTTCAAGAATGCTCACTGTGCAGGATTAACATTAAAAGGAAAGCAGATATTCATTCCCAATCTCTCCCCCCTTCTCCCCATTTGGTCCTTAAAACCATTACCGTCTCCTTTGCTCCAATCATTCTAACCTGGCCTCATTCATGGGTGCCCTGGGGGATCTTCCTGAGTGAATATTTCAGTTTGACAAAAGGTTTGACCCTGGGGAGGGGAGGCTAGCTGAACAGTTGCCACCAACATGAACAGATGATAATCCCATCTTGCAGATGAGTGAAAGCCACAAGGGGGATTCTTTGGGACTTTATCTCTAGGGTCATTCTTTAGGGAACCCTCCTTTCCACACACATTGTTAATTCCAGTTCCATCTCTTTGTTCTCCTCCCCATTTCAAGGCATCGTTTCCCATCCATCCCCAGGTTTTTTCTGTCTAGTCAAACCCTACCAGTTTCTTCCCAGCTCTACTCTGAATATTCATATGATGTTATTCCTGGGAAGAATCCTTGTAACATATCACAGTTAATCTGTAGGAAGAGGAGACTAAGACCCCGTCAGCTGCGTGCCCGTCCCCGGGCTCCCCTTGGGGAGCAGCTGATCAGGACGCATACCCAGTGTTCCCAGCTCCCACCACCAGGACCCTCCTTCTGCACCCACTGCTGCTCAGTGACCCTCTTCCAGGACTCTGGGTCCTGCGGTGGTTTCTGCTGTGAAGGAATTCAGTGGCTATGACTTGTGACATGTGATTATATGGTTTATTTCTTTTTCATTCATGAAATTATACTTTAATAATACTTGTTATTTATTGAAGACTTGGTATGTATGAGACACCATACTAAAGTATCCTTCAAAATGCATTCTTCCCTATAATACTGTGAAATAGACATTATTATCCCTGTATTTCAGATGGTGGAACTGATGTCACAGAGATCACAAACTTGGGCAAGGCCACACAGCATCACATAGCAGTGTCCCCTCAGTATGTGGCCGGCCAACCACACAATATGGAGTTTGCTTTACTTGTCCATATCCCTCTAGATGCTTGAGCAGCTTGTAGACAATCACTGTGTGCTCTTATTTCTGAATTTCTACAAAATTCATTCAACAAATGTTCGAGCATCTTCTATGTGCCAGATACTGTTCTAAGTGTTCCCAGAGTCCACCTCCTCTCAGAAGATTTCCTTGATGCCTTGGTTAGCTTAATTGATCCTGTTCTCTCTTTCATGGTGCCTTTTTATTTTTTTCTACCTCTAACCTTGCATTTAAGATGATGTATTTTAATGATCTGCTCTCTCTCTCTCTCTCTCTCCCCCTCATTCTTCCCCACTAAACTATTGGCTCTTTGAGGACATCTTATTGATATACGTTTTCTGTAGGTCCTACTACAGAAACTGGGAAAGTAACTCCAAAGATAGGTTTGTTGAGTGAATAAACAAACATCCTGTACTGATTCCCTTTCTATCTTTTGGGCTATGAAGACAGCATCCATCACAACACCAGGATGCCTCTGGCTTCCCTGGTGGCCTCCACACCTTTATACAACATAGGGTTTTTCATACCCATGGTCCTCACCTGCAATCTATTTAATGCCCAGATTCAGTCCTTGCTCTGAAGGAGTTTTCTCTCTGCCTTATCTCAGAGCTCACACCTACACTCTGGAACTGTCTCTTCCAGCAAGGGGCAGGGTGCCTCTTCTCATGTTTTGTTGCCCAGGTTGGAGAGGAGGCTAAAGTGAGTGGAAATTTCCTGCTGAGTGGAGAGCAGTAGAAGGATTCTTAGAACTGAAGGTTGAGCTGAGATTCCTCTAGCTTCTGCCTCTCATCTCCTCCCCAGGCTCCAAAGGATCAATTTCCTATGCAAGTGATTCCCTCAACACTGTCACACTTGGAAGAGCTAATTTAATTGTTCTAGTATATGAGTCATTCTTGTCCTACTGTTCTGTTTTGTGGGAACTTACCTGGTCCTTTCTACTTTAACCAGATAACAAATAAGGGAGAGAAGGAGGTGAATGACACTTAATCAAAGGGTTATTTTTTTAATAAGTATTTATAAAGGTTTGGAGATGAAGGTAGGATGATTCAAAGAAGGCTTGAGATAGTTGGGGAATGGATTCCAGCCCTGACATGGAGTCAGGGCACTTGAGTGCACCTGAGGGCACCCTTAGTACTGACTCAGGTGCTGGGTTACCCATTTGAAAAGCTTAGCAAATGCACAGGGCAAAAGCAAAAAACGTGGGGGCTTGTACCACAAATATTTATTTCTAGGACCTCAATCTTTATGATAGGGGCTAGGCAATCACTGAAGTCTTCAACGAGAAATACATTATTATGTTATATTCCCTTATGTTTATTTTATGCTTTAGGGTTGCTTTTCTTTTTAACTGCTGTTGGTGAGGTGGTGAGGGAGTGAAGTACTACAGTCCTTTAAACTTTAGTGTGCCTAAAATTTGTAATCTGGCCTCGAGAAGCTTTGTTAATCTCAGAATCAAGGATGCCCAGTGGTCTTGTCAAGTCATTAAATGAGATGAGAAAAGGAGGGAAATTGAACAAATCTTTTTCTTTTTTTCTTTCTTCTTTTTTTTTTTTGTGAGCCCTAGATGCCAAGCTTTGTGCTTGGTCCTTTAGTTATGCTCTTTCACAGAACCTTTACCAGAACTGACTGAGCTCAGCTGCATTTGCACTCCAGCCCATCCCCACAACACTCAAACTTTTTTTACAGATAAATAGACTGAACCTCAGAAAGGTGCATAACCCGTCTAAGATCCCAGAGCATAAGTGATGGAGCTGGGATTTACACCCAAGCCTGTCCCACACTAGGGATTCCTCTCTTGATCTCAGGGTCTTCACCTATCAAAGGAAGACATTAACTCCATGGATTGAAAATGCTGGACCTCCTCCTTCTTTACAGCTTGTAATTGTGCTGGCATTTTGGTAACCAGGGTTAATCTGTTTAATGACATTAATATATTTTAAGTAGGGACCCTGTAGATTACCTCCACCACCAGGGCACAGGTCGGGGCACCTGAGCCTTAGAAACCACTGGCCAAATTACAATTCTCAAATCATCACCAGGATTTCTCACTCTTGCCTGCAGCCCTGGTCCCAAAGGACTCCTTCCTAGAGTCACACAGCGCAGAGAGGAGAAGGACCAGCAACTCAAGAATATACCTTGAGGGAGGGTCTGTTTGTAGCTACTGGAGGCCTCTGGCTGGCTGAGTATAGTGCTAACCATCTGCCCTCTCTTTATAACTGGTTCTGAGTAATGCCTGAGACTGAGATGGAGCAGTAGCTTACCCTTTTCTGTTTTTACTAAATAGCTTGTTCCTTTTTTTTCTTCTATTTTTTTGTTTTTATTGTTATTTTGGTTTTTGTTGTTGTTGCTTTTTAAATTTGGCTATGCAAGACACACGGGATCTTAGTGCCCCAACCAGGGACTGAAGCTGCGCCCTTGGCAGAAAAAGCACAGCATCCTAACCACTGGACAGCCAGGGAAGGCTTGTTCTAAGTAGGGAGGAAGGAGAAGAGATAGGGCAAGGGGGGGTGGGGGGTGGGAGTGTCACAGAGACAAGTATGTCATGTGACTGTGTCAATAAATTGATTTAAAGTTAAAAAACAAAGAAACTCTCCATCTCCATTTTTTTCTACTACTTCTGTGCTTTGGAAATGGTATGTCTTCCACAGATATGTGCTTATCATTGGCTATTGACTGATTGGAGGGAACCCTTGAGATGGAGAAGAGAAGGGAGTACCCCACTGTTCTCTCACTGCCCTATTTGTGCCTTTTGTTTGTGGAAAGAAGACAGGAAATAGAAAGAAAAAGAGAAGGGGTCATATATGCAAATGCCCACCAGCATGCAGCCTAGATGTCCCATCAAGGCCTCAGTCAAGACATGTTCAAAAAAGATGTCATCATTTCCACCTCCTTTGTCCTCTAATCTGGCTTCAACCCAAAGACTTTTAACTCTTATTTCAAGAGTCAATACTAGAGGTGAGTCCATTAAATTATAATCATTCAGGAATTGTGATTGTGTCCTATATTTGCCAATGACTCCTGAACTTCCCCCCAATCAAAAAAATGAATATTCAGTCTTGACTTATCCCATAATCCATATCCAGACAGTCACCTAAGGCTACTGACGTTCCTTCCAGACCTCTCTCAAGTCTTCCTCTCATTGGCTACCCCCTTGCACTAGTTTAGGCCCTTATCTTCTCTTCCTGCCTGGTCTCTGTCCTATATCTCATGGCTACCAAATGTGTATTTCCATGGAGCAATCACAGTGAGCCTCTGGAAACAAAAGGCTACCCATGCTAGTTTCCCTGCCTAAAATCCAGTGGTTTCCCTTCCCCTCTCCACAGGGCTAATTTAATCTTCTCCACATAAGCCTTGTGGAGTTAATTCACCTAGGTCAAAAATATTTATTAAGGACCTGCTATATGTGAGACACTGCTTGATAAATTGGAGGTTCCATGGTAATGAAAATAAACAAGAATCCCTGTCCTCATGAAGCTTACATTCTAGAGGAGAGAGATAGGACAAGAAACTAGATAAATAGATAAGTTGTATCGGATGTTAGATGGTGCTTAAGTGGTTTAGGATTGAAGTCAAGGAGCTGGATTGCTGTATTAAATAAGGCACCCAAAGATGACATCCTTGAGTCAAATTTTGAGTGAAGTCCTGAAGGAAGTACAAGTACAGGTAAGCAATGTAGATACATGAACAATCGTGTTCTAGGCAAAGCAAACTCAAGCATATTGAAGAGCTCTGGAAATAGCAAGCAGGCCAGAGTGGCCTGTGTGGAGTTACAGAGGGGACAGGAATAGATAAGATCAGAGAAGTCACAGCAGGAAGTGAGCAAGGGGTGTGCGGTCATGGAGGTGCTCTTAAGCCACTGCAAGATCTTTGGCTTTACTCTGCATAAGAAAGGAAACCATGGAAGGGGTCTGGACATAAGAGTGTCACGATCTGACTAATGTTTTAATAGGATCACTCGGGTTGCTGTGTTCAGAAGAGGCTGTAGGGGAACAAAAAGAGGCGCAGGGGTATGTCAGTTAAAGGCAACTCATGTGATCCAGCAATCCCATTCCCAGGCAAATATCCAGAGAAAACTCTAATTAGAAAACATACATGAACCCCAATGTTCATAACAGTACTATCTGCAATAGCCAGGACAGGGAAGCAATCGAAGTGTCCATCGACAGATGAACAGGTAAAGAAGATACGATATATACATACAATGTAATATTACCCAGCCATAAAATAGAATGAAATAATGTCATTTGCAGTAACATGGATGGACCTAGAGATTATCAAACTAAGTGAAGTAAACCAGACAGAGAAAGACAGATGTCATATGATATCACTCATATGTGGAATCTAAAAAATAATACAGACGAACTTATTTATGAAACAGAAACAGACTCACAGACATAGAAAACAAACTTACGGTCACCAAAGGGGAAAGGGAGTGGGTGAGGGATAAATTGGGAGGTTGAGATTAATATAAACACACTACTATATATAAAATAGAGAAACAACAAGGTCCTGCTGTGTAGCACAGGGAACTATACTCAATATCCTGTAATAATCCATAATGGAAAAGAATATATACAAAAGAAAAGGTCACTGCGTCAAATGCCAGTGAAAGACAAATGAGGAAAAGACCATTGGATTCGGCAAGAGCCAGCCACTGTTCTCTTGAGAAGTGTGATTTTGCGGCCGCTCTGTGACAAACCTTCATTGGGTAGGTTGAAGAAAAAGGAAGAGGAAATTTGGAGACCAAGACTATAATCAACATTTCCAAGGAACCGGGCAATAAACTGAAAGAGAAAATGGGGCAGTACATGGAGTCAGATAAGAGAGTGAGTTTTCCTTCCCTCCCGAAACCGTAGGTTCTTGTTCATGTTTTTGGTTTTCTTTAATGCCTGTAATACTTGCATGCTTTATGCTTTGGGAAGCCATTAAGTAGAGCTGGAAAAATGCTGTAAAGAAAGGTGAGGAGGGTAATGCTGCAGTGATGCTGTCCACTAGGTATGAGATCTGGCCCACAAGTGATTGGTCAGGTCTTCGCTAGAGCCATTAGCTGTTTGTTTTCAGCAACCGGAGGGAAAGAGGTACACAGACACAGATGGAAGTAGGTGGAGAAATGTGCTGAGAGTGTGTGGATGTTCTCTTCTGAATGCTACATTCTTTCACAGAAAGAAGGAAATGAAGTCATCTACCAAGAGTGGAGATTGAATTGCAATTGTCGGCAGTCTAAGGAGAGAGAGGGAAAGTTTAAAATTTGCCATCTAGGAGATCAGGAGGATGGATGAATTAACAAAGACTAAGGGGTGATTTCTGGGCAGATTTAAGAGTTCACCTGAGGTCATGATTCTAAAGGAGGATGGTCTGGACTCTGCCCATTTTCTATTGCGATCCACTATTGCCTGATGCTCCTCTTTGTACCAAGACCCCGGGAATTCTGTGGAGTGCCTGACACACACTCTGCTCTTTCAGACAGCTTTGCAGGGGCTCACTGGGACCCTCTGCCTCTTTCTTCCCCACCCAGCCAATTTGAAATCAACGTCAAGACTCAATTTACTCCTAACTTCCTCCAGAATATAAGTACCATTGATCTTTGGACAACATGTGTTTGAACTGTGCAGGTCCATTTATACGAGGAATTTTTTCAATAGTAAATATTATACAACAGTACTACAGGATCCTCCATTGGTTGAATCCACAGATGAGGAACTGTGGATACAGAGGAACTGAAGACAGTGAGGGCCACCTATAAGTTATACTCAAGTTTTTGACTGGGTGGGGTGTTGGTGCCCCTAACCTCCCCTCCTCGTTGTTCAGGGTTACCTGTACCTGATGCCCAGATGAGGTGGGTGCCCTCATCCATGCTCCTGTATCACCTGTGCACACTCCTCCCACAGCCTTTACCCATCCCTTGTGATTTCCTCATTATGCTACAGTTCAAGGGTTATCAAAACTGAACAGGCATCAGCATCACCTGCTCCCCCTCCCCACAGAAAAGTTTCTGATTAAGTAGATCTGACGTGGAGCCCAAGAATTAGTATTTCTTACAAGGTCCCAAGTGATACTGATGCTGATGAGGGGGATGCCCCCTGAGGACCACTATTCTAATTCTCCAAAGGCTAGGGCTGAGTGTGGTTTTTACCTGTCCCCAGAACTTGGCTGCACAGTTGGCTCGGGGTCGAAGCTCAGAAAAATTGTATTGAGCACCAAATGCACATTTGGCTGAATGAGAAGAAGGGAAGTAAGGTACCTGAATGGTAAACACTCTGCCCTCTCGGTTAATCTTCAGGTGGTGCAGTCTTCTGTTGGCAAAGTTCTCTGTATCGATGGTGAATACATGGGTTTCTTCCTTGCTTAGCTGGTAGCGAACTTGTAAGCTTCCTTAAAAGACAAACATTAGACATTAGAATTAAAGATAGGAGCCATAAATGCAAAAATATGATCAGATTGTCTTTTAATTGATTGTGGCTGTTTTCTAGGGACCTATGTCTCAATCTTTTCATTATTCACATTCTTAAAAGGTATTATATATCTTGTGACTATAGCATCTAGGTCCATATTAAAAATCCTGAGCATAGCTGAAATACTTTTGTGTGTGCGTGTGTGTGCGTGTATGTGTGCGTATGTGTGTGTGTGTTATCAGAAACCAAAATACCAGTTTGGAAAATAAAACAACCACAAGTCTATTTTGTAACTGGATTGTGAAAACTTTAATAAGATAAAATCTTTTCCCACGCTCTCTTCAATTCCTACCATTTCCTAGAACTCCCTTTTTTCCTAATTGCCTTCCTGGAATTTCAGAATATGTAATGTGAAATAAGATTGTAAAGTAATCTAGGCAGAATAGGAGAGAATAATTTGGGGTAATGAGGCAGTTACCCAACAGAGTCAGCCAATAGCAGAAGCTCCCTACCGCTAATCCTGGTTTCCTTCATTCCTCCTTTCCTTTTGGTTCTGATCACCATCAATTTCCATTGGGGGTGTATTTTCTCACTTAAAAACTAATCAATAAAAATAAAATAAAATAAAATAACATAAAAACAAAAAAAAACTAATCATAGGTCCGTAGCAGTAGCATATTTGGTGCAGAGAGGAGCTCAGACATGAGGTAAGAGGTCTGCCAGGGGAAGGGAAAGGGCCCATCTTTCCCTGCCTTCCCACCTGCCAGGGGAAGGGAAAGGGCCTGCCAGGGGAAGGGATGGTGGCTGGCATGCTCTTTCTGGCTCCTTCTAAGAACTTGGGTTTTTAATATATAATTCAACCCAACAAAATAAATCAGCATGTGATAATTATGTGTCAGGCATGGTGACAAGGACCACATTCCTTGAAGTTATTTGGGACTCTCTTACCATCTCACTGTGTGGGTCATTCATGCACACATTCTGTATGTACCTATCCATTTTAGAAATCACTTCCATTTTATACATCTTTACCAACACCTGCCTAGCAACCATCCATCTTAGATGCCAGTAATCTCAACCAGGACCCTGTCAAGGTATTTATTCTATATCTTCCCCAGCATTCCAGTTTAGGTCTAAAACACCTCAACCATTTCTTCTAGAGCTCTACAGATATTGATCTCACCTTCTTAGGATGTTTGATGCAATCAGTGACTCCCTAAGTACCCTAAGAAGAGCTCCTGAAATCTCTTGCTAACTCATTGTCACACAGCTCCTAGGAGGAGAAAGTCAACCCATGGCTTTTCAACATAAGTTTGACACAATTAAGGGCTGACTCCAGTCTTATAGGAGGCACTGGGGTGAGAAGGTGACAGTCAGGGCCAGAGGTTCATTGATCACCTTCCCCTCAGCTTTGTATTCAGCTGCTTGATCAGTGAGCAAAGAGGCACGTCTCTCCTTCTAGTGTATATTCTGGTGTCATGAGGTTACTGTCAGTTTCTTGGATGGCATTACCCGGGACCCCAAAAAGTTCATTGCCCTAAAGCCCTCTTCTATCTCCTTTTATGATTCATCTGTCTGCTTCCATTTCCTCCCTAGAGTCTCCCACCACTACCTTTGCATCCAAAAGTGTTTAACATAATGATGAACTTTGCAAGTTTATATATTGTCCAATAGACAGGGAACTGACAGAGGGAAGATGCTCTGAATCTAATAAACAACAACAACAACAAAAGGATGGTCTTAGACAGGTGTTCACTACAATTTATTCAGGGAACTATAATGTATCCCCTCCTGTGTGTTCTCCATTTCTTCTTCTTTTTTGTTTGTTAGTATATGTTGACATTGATACATTATAAAGGGCATGCATTTGAGGGTGTGTGAATATAGGCTGAAATAAGATGTTCACGGTGTGGAAATTAAAAATTGATTTGAGCCCCAGTTAAGACTTTTCCAAATATGCTTCTGGAATAAACATACGTATAATGGAATAACCTTTGGTCACCGGCAACTATGCTGTAAATGTTTTAATGGCTCTTATTAATATTGGAGCACTCTAGCTGTAACTAGCCTCACTTTTTTAGGTCTCCAGGCAAAATCCATATCATCATTTTTAGAACTATGCAACAGGAATTATCAATGTCATTTAAAAAAATGTCGAAGAGAAATCTGATTCCAAAAAAAAAATTGTATTTAAACACAATGATAAGGAATCTACTTTAAATCAAAGAGGATGTAGTCATATTCTGTTAAACTTCCTTACTACTCTCTGGACAAAGTTACCACCCCTTGGCTTCTATTATGCTTGAGTTCCTGCTTATGACTCCTCTTTTATCTAGAACAGTTTTTTGTTCCTTCCTCCATTTGATTGATGAAGGAACAGAGGGGCAGGAAGGAATAACTTTTCATCATTCATAGTAAGTGATGGACTCAGAAATGAAATCTAGTTAGCTCTAAAGAGCATGGTTTTCCCATGGAACACAGGGTCCCATGTGTTCATCTCAGCCAAGAACGGTCTTCCACTTCGACTTTTCCCTTTAAGCTTATTCCTACTCAAACTCCAAAAGTAAGCACCAGGTTACCTCTTCCAGGAAGCCTTACCTGGCTTCTCCAAGGTGCCCTCTTCTGCTCCTATAGATCCTGTGCTCACTTCTAGCCTAACATGTATTGGGTTGTGCTGTCTATTTACTTGCTTATTGCCCCTTCCTTCTTTCCTTCCCTCCATCCCTCCTTCCTTCCTTCCTTGCCTCCCTCCCTCCCTCCCTCCTTCCTTCCTTCCTTCCTTCCTTCCATCCTTCCCTCTCTTCTTCCTTCCTTCCTTCCTTCTTTCCTTTCATTCTTTTCAAAACAACATAAATTTATTGTGCCAAATTCTGGAAGCTAGAAGTCTGAACTGTTATCTCAAAGGCTCTAGGCTAGGATTCTTCCTTGCTTCCTCTGAGCTTCTGGTGTATGCCTGCGTTCCTAGGCTTGTAAATGCATCACTCCAAGTGCTTCTTTTTGCTTCACATGGCTTCTCCCTGTGTCTCTCCGATAGATCTATATTCAAAGCTGCTCTAATACTCTACAAATGATAACTATATTCCTTTTAGCAAACCTTTTTACTATCTATATTCTTCTTGACAATCACCTACTCATAAGAAGATGAAAATTATGGACTAGAAATTCAGAATTGGAAATTTCAACCGTATATCTAGTTCAGCGTCTCAATTTGGGCCTTAGGAGAAAGATTCTCACACCTCAGTTTTTTCAAGAGCTTCACTTTGTTGTGTTTTACATGTTCCCACTTTGCCAGTTTTCCTACACTAGTCTGTCTTCCATACTGTCATTAGTGTGAGTATTCTAACATAGACTTACTTGGCCATGTGATTCTACTGCTTAAAAAATTCCAAGGCTCCTTAATTTTACATGAAACATTCCAACTGCTTAGCCTGACATGCAAAGTCCTTTTCTTACCTTCCAACTTTATCACATATATATTTTTCATAACTGAATCACATGTGAACTATCCCAAATAACACCCCCCAAATAATGCTCCTCCTTGCCTTTGTGCACTTTTTCTTCCTCTGGGACCACCCCTGCCTCCTTATCTCTATGACAACCACTTCTCCTTCATTAAGACCCACCTGATGTGACCTAGGTCTCCACTTGCTCCCAAAACTGAAAGTATCTTTCCTTCCTATATTCACTGTGCTCACTTTTAGTAACAACCTCAGTGTATCATGCTTTGCTTGTCTTTCTCCTTGAACTTAAGCTTCTCTAGGAGGAATAGATTCTTATTCATCTTTGTGTCTATAGAGAATAACACAGGGTCTGCTATCTCAAGTCGCCAAAAGTCATTTGTTGAATAAAATGGCCACTCTGGAGAATGTTATTACCACTTCATCAACATTGTAAACTAGCAATTATTCAATGTCTACTGTGTGTCAGATACTAAATTAACAAATAGTTATAATGTTATAATTCTATCTTTAAGGAGTTCATAATCTGAAGCAGGCAAAAGCAAGGTCATACTTGTCTGCTTATATGCCTATCATGTATTAGATTATTTATTTATTTTAACATCTTTATTGGAGTATAATTGCTTTACTATGGTGTGTTAGTTTCTGCTGTATGACAAAGTTAATCAGCTATACATATACATTAGGTTTTTAATCTGGTACTAAAGATAATTTTTATCAGATTCTCAGATTAGAAAGTAGAATTTCAGTGGAGTAAAATGCTCTAAAAGTAAAACATAATAATAAAAATAATAGTAATGATATTCATAATGAAATGGGATTCAAACCCAGGAGTATAGAACTTTAAAGTGTATGTTCCTCCCACTAGATCATGTTGCCTCTGAAGACATGTCTGGTCAAATAGATGGATGAGTTGATGAATAGAGAAGTGGATGGTTGGGCAAAGGGAAAGGTGAGTGATTTGATAGACAATATAGATACATGTTTTGTGAATTCAAAAGAGTGAAGACAATGAGCACTTATAGGGTTGAGGTAATGAGAAACAGTGTTTCAGAGAAAGAAGTTTATTGTAGAAGGTAGAACTGAATTAGGCAAAAAAAAAAGTACTATGCTTATGTAGCTGTAGAGATATAAGCAGAGCCATGTGTCTGAATTTTACCATGCTTGAAGTGTAGACCCATAGGCCAGTAGGGCTGATGAGAATCTTGGCACATATTCACCCAACCAACCTCCTCATTTTGAAAGATGGAAAAACTAAAACCCTAGAACTTGGAAGAGAGTGGTAATAAAGTGAGAAGCCATATGGAGAAGGCTTGTATTAGAAGGACAAAGAATTTGGACTTATTCTTGTAAAGACGGACCCCATAAAGGGCTCTAAACACATTGTGACTGGGTTGATTTATACAAAGTTTTATATATATATTTTATATATATATATATTTATATATATATATTTTTTTTTTTTTTTTGGACACACAGGCTCAGGCTCAGCGGCCATGGCTCACGGGCCCAGCCGCTCCGC